TTGTGATTCGGACGTTGAAGGAGCGCCTGGTGTTTTTGAAAACCGACATGTCGAAACGCTCTTGTCCTTCCACGTCGCTTTGGAGTGTTGAGAGTGTGTGTGGGAATAGTGTTGTGCCAGATATTCTCAGTCGCTCAAACCTGGATCGTTTTTCTACCCAACTCCTTATGGGCGTTAAAGAATTGAGGCCGGAGATGCTGTTGGGTGATACCATGCAAGACCTGCTTGGTGTCTCGGACCTCACAAAAAGTGGCGGGCAGGCAAGTCTCTGTGTCGAGGGGGAAAGTGAGACGAGGGATGATTACATTTATCCATTTGAGGCGACAAAGACTTATGAAGTGATGCAAGGGCATGGCCGTGATGGAAGAGCCAGCGAACACTCCGGTTTTCGGACGTCTGTGGATGAGGCAACTCAAACGAGGGGAGCAGCAGCCCATGAGGGTACGGCGCCGCCTGCACCAGGAACGAGGCCGAATAACGACGATGCTTCGACAGAGTTCAGTTTTTCCGGATTTCCCGACTACAGAACGTCGGGAAGTTTGATGGTTTGGCCACCCTCCCCCAATACCTGCTCGGAAGAACGTCATTTTTTACCTTGTTACAAAAAGCCGACTGTTCCTTCCAAAATAGAAAGACGCAGCGATGTTTCCAACGAAAGTAACGCGCGGGCGATTAATGAGATGCGGCAAATTATAGAACGAGCCCTCCAAGAAATCAATGAATTGAAGACGAGACAGGTGAAACTCAGTGCTGACATGACTATTCTCCAACGCTGTTTACGATCTCACGTTGCGAACGAGGCGAAGCAGCCACACTCTTTGGAAAGGCAAGCTCCTGAGTTGCAAGAAGTGCAGGGGCCGGATCGTGGGAAGGAGGAAACGCAGTTGGTAAGAACAGAGGCAGAGTGGACCCCGTTAACTTTCACGGAGTTACAGACGCTTTGGCAGAAGTTGGAAGATGTTCTGCAGGGCCTGAGAGCACACCATGAGGGTCAAATGAGTCACTTTATTCGGCAAGTGATCGATCGGTTTGGACAAATCAATCAAATTGTCTCTTACGCACTCACCAAACTGGATGCGTTGCAGCTGCAGCAGCAACAGCAGCAGCAGCAACAGGGGGACCACCATGACAAGATGGAGGTCGCTCTTCCTGTTGATTTGATTTCTGATGGGGAAAAGGTATATTTGATGGTGGACGTTCAGTGTTGTACCACTGAGCACTGTGAAGTCTTGCTCCCCATAAGTCTCAAGGCAACGGTGGGCATGTGCAAGCGCGAGCTTTTACGACGGCTTCACCGACAGGGTTTAGTTGACAATAACATTTCGTACGCCGATGTTATTCTCCTGCGGGACACACTGACATTATATGAGGAGGACGTTCTTGGGGATGTTCTTGTTCCCGCGCTTCAAAACATCGGTGCTTCAATGAAATTGGTGAAACTGACGCTGCGCACAATATTCCCTAAATCGGTGCATAGTTTTTCTCCAACGAACGACGATAAATGTGCAAGAACAACTAGTCCAACAGCTCAACACAATGGGATTCCTTCAGTGGGCGCTTTTTTGGCTGACCCCGTGGCCACGAGTGGTCGTGACGCACGTGCTGCCATGACGACATTGGAAGGGCACTCTCCGTTACAACAATACGCCGCGACCGTGCGTCATTTAACACCCGCGGATAATTTACGGTTTGAGGACCTTGGTGTACTGCGTGGGGGGGCTGCGGATGAACTCAGCCAGAACGAGTCGCTATATCGTCGACTTATTTGGGAGCTGGAGCGTTCAGAGCTAGAAGAGCTCCGTAAAGACGAAAAATTGCAACGCGTTGCCGTTGCCAAAGAAGGACTAAAACGCGTTCGTCTCACGCTGTTGGATCGTGTGACGTACTCCACTGTGGAAGGACACCGTCACGTGGCCCGCAGTGCCCTTGAGAATTTGGACACTCTCTTGGTACCGGGAGCAACCGTGGAGGAAATATGCATGGCAACCAAAATGGCACAGAAAGCAGTGAAAAGCATTGGCAATACCCATGGAGAGGACAAGCGCGTGGCCGAAATGCAAGAAGCCATGCGTGCGGAGCAAGAAAGAAAGCAAAGAACGATTGAAGAAATCAAAGAATTATGCGACGAAGTTACCCATCGGCTACGTATCCCTGCAAATCTGTTGAAACGTGCGGAGTCAGTTGCGCACGACGCGCAGCGTGCCATCACGTTGGCACCCAACATGTCTCTAAAGGAGCTCGAAGAAGTGCATCAATCTTTGGTAAATTTTCGCGCTGCAGTTTGTATCTAAAAGAGGGGTTTCTTTCTTTTTTTTTTTTTTTTTTTTGTTGTTGTTGTTTTTATGCGTGCACGTCATCAGAATTATTTATTTATTTATTTATGTTTCTACTCTTTAATGCTCGATTCTTGTTTCACCTTACGGCGGGGTGTATAGTGCGCCTTTTTTCCTTTACCTTTATGCTTGCGTGAAATCAAACTCATGTAAACCAATACCACGCGTTTCAGAGACAATAAAGCAGGCACGATGTCCCACGCAGGGAAAAAGGAGTGCGTTGGGGAGTACTGCTCCAGCGGCAAACGATGCCAACTCAAAGAACGTGTCATTCCGATTTATTTTATTTTTTTTTTTGCATTTATTTTTGTATATATTCATATATTTTTATAGCTATATATATTTCCTTTTGGTGAGGAACACAATCGGTTTGACACAGGACACGGTAAAGAATATGTCACTCCTAAATAATATAGAGGCTTATACTAGCAACGTTTCTGTTTTCCTTGTTACTTTCTTTTTGAGTTTTTGTATTTGTTTTTGGGACTCCTGTTACCATCACAATGGTAAATATTAGCACTGCGTGTATTTTTATAAGCTTCAGGAAGAAATGTGTACCAAAATGAGGCTGAGCACATGAGGCAGACCGACAGAGAGAGAAAGAGAGAGGCTTTGGATATATATATATATATATACCTTGGCTTCCTCATTGCGAATTTATTTTTATTTTCAAAGATACCGCGTTGGAAGGTAGCGAGAGCGCCGTTTTTGTTTTTTTGTTTTTTTTTTTCCTGTTTTCCCACCCTATTTTCCGGTGCTGCCCTTCACGAGGGGGACTCCGACGGCTGCGTGGCTCTTTTGATGGCTGCCGCTTTTTTAGCCTCCAACGATCTCTGTGTTTACGGTATATTTTTTTTGAATGTGTTTGTTGGCTGGCGTGTGTGTGTCTGGGTGTGGGAGAAATCCTCTATGAACTGTGTGGAGTGCTGGGTGCAGTGAATAAACTGTTTCTCTTGTTGCACCTTGTCCTTGTAGGAAAAGGGCGCCAGGACCTCATACAAGCGCATATTCCCTGTCCTTTTCAGAGGGCAAACTTTAGGAAGAAACAGCGGCGAGAGCGGTAGGCAGGAGAGGAAACAGGACCAAGAAGGGGCCATGTCGCAAGAGACACTCAGCGCGAAGCAAGTGAATCAGCCCGGTGTTCATGCGCCGGAGGTCAAGGCGTTGCTCAGTGCCCGGGCAAGGTACCGAACAGTCGTTGTAGTTGCTGTCACATTCCTTCTGCTCGCTTGTCTTTTTGTCATCTCCAGCTCGTCCTCGGAACAGGGTGAGGGTCGATACCGGCCGAGGGCGATTGTGCTGATTGTTCCCCACCTTCCACCGGACATGCTGGAGGCGGCCATGGCAAGCAATAAGGCCCCGTTTCTTGGTCTCATCTCCGCTGCGGATGGCGTCTATGCCCGGCCTCTTGCGAAGAACACGGAACTGCCGTCGTCCCTGGTGACGATTCTCACAGGCAAGGTGAGCTCGAGTGCAACGGACCTTGTGGGTGCGACGAGTTTTCTGGGGAAGATGAAGAAGGCCGGGAGGAAGCCCGTCGTTCTGGCGGCGGCGGCGTACTGGTCGGCACAGGTGGCGGCGGCGGACGGCAACTGCAGCCGTGTGGGGCTGTTTGACTCGGAGTGCTCCGGTCTCAGGTGCCCCGCGGCAACCGAGGCGGCGTACTGCAACGCCGCGGAGAAGCTCCTGTCATGTGACGGCAAGGCGCAGCTTTACGAAGAGGATGTTCTGGAGGCGTTTCGCCACCTCATGCAGCATGATGGCGACCTCCTGTACGCTCACGCCAATGCCCTGTGTGGCACGGTCAGCACTGACGAAGAGCGCATGGCTGTCTTGAGCGACATCAGCATCATGGACAGCACACTGGGGAAGCTTGCGCTTGCCGTCATTGAACGCTCCAGCACGGCGAGGGAGAGCTGGCTGATCATGCTTGTTGGTGCGGGGGGCAACGGTCTGGAAAGGGTTCCGTTGGTGATGGTGGCGTATGCGAAAGGAGGTCTTGTGCGTTTTGGTCCCATACCCGAGGAGGCGACACTTGCCGATGTTGCCCCAACCGTGCTGCATTGGTTTGCTCTTTCCCCCCATGGCGACGCGCAGCGGGTGCGAGGCATGTGCTCCACGGGTGTGGCTGCCATCAGCTGCGAGGCCACCACAAGATGGCCATGAGTCTGCTCCGTGAAGGTGAGGTGAAAAAAATGAGGCGTGCTGTTGTGGCGGTGCTAAATATACATGTTTTTTCTTTTGTGTGTGTACTGCAGAATTAACAAGATGCGGTGTGTGTGTTTGGTAAGCATTTTTGTATGCTTGCTCATAAATAAAAGTATTTGACTGTTGTTTGATATGACTACCTGTTATTTCTCGTGACCTATAGCGATGCAGTTGAATTTGTTGTTTATGAAAAGGCATGTGCATTTGTTTATTGCTGTTTTGTTTTGTTTTTTGTTTGTTTTTTGTTTTTTTACCGGGAACAGAATGATGTTGATGATGATGAATCCGTGTGGTCATGCCTCCTTTTTCTTTCTTTTTTTTTTTTTTTTTTTGTGTGTGTGTGTGTTTGTCGGGTAGGCTGTTCTTTTTTGGTTTTTTTTCTTTGTTGTTGTTGTTATGGAAGAAGATAAAACAATGACGGAACTCGACGGTGTCGAATCGCTGAATGCGGTTGCCGAAGAAGAAAAGCATGAGATTTACGCATCAACGAAGCGTCGCCACTCACTGACGAAGGATGGGCTGAAGGCGTTGCGTGAGGCCACAGTAGAACAGATAGCGGAGAGCGACAAAGATGTGGCGCGAGCCATTTCTCTTTTTTTTGGCAACCACGTGTATGACGCGGAAGAAATCTTTGCAAGGAAGGCAGGGGTGGATCCTCTCTATGCGCTGGGTGCGGCCTGCATCTGCACAATCAAGGCCATGCTGTCATTGACAAAGAGTGACATGGAAACTGCTGTGGAGCGAATTTCGTTTACAATCACGTTTGCGGAGGAAATTGTTCCTTCCGAGAAGAGCCTTTTTAGCAAATTGGCGGATGCCTTTCGGAGAAGTAGTAACAAAAGAAGGCTTCTGCCAGGTGAATTCCGTGCCAAGGCTGTCCTCGCCGATGCCTACTTTTTCCGTGGCTTTATCCTGTTGCTGCAGCAGAATTCCATCAACGGTATTCTGCGGGGTGGCATGGCTCTTAACAGGAGCTACTGTTTATTGAATTCCCTGGCAAATGAACTGGATGAGCTGAAGGAAGAGAAGAAGGGAAGTTCCTACGATGAAATTGGGCTCGATTGCAACAGCGTATACAATGCACTGTTGGGTTTTGGTTGTGTTAATGTCGTTATGTCTATGCTGCCGCCGCGTATTTTACGTGTTCTCAACTTTTTAGGTTTCAAACATGATCGAGAACTTGGGGTTGCCCGGGTGTCCCAGTGCTGGGAAAGCAAAACTCTTTTGGCCCCTCTTGCCGGTCTTTTTATTGTGGCATTCAACAGTTTTCCTCCCGGATTTTGTTCACTCACTAAGCCGGTGTTATTACCTGTGGCAAAAGCAACGGCAAGCGACGCAATCAAGCGACCACCCACGGAAAACTCGGTGATTCACCTGTGGCTTACTGGGCGCATTAGTCGTATTGAACTAAACATGGATGAAAGCATTGCCATCTTTTCCAGGTGCTTGGAAGTGGCCGATAAGGGACAGATTGCGAGGTCCATGTCACAGTTGCGAGATTTTGCTGTATATGATCAGGCATGGAACTTTGCCGTGTCAATGCGATGGGAGGATGCCATTAAAAACCACGCCTATCTGGAGGAAAGTTCGGCTTGGTCAAAAATCTTCTACGCGTACGCGCAAGCATGCAGTTATGAGATGTTGCTGCACAGTACCCCAGAAGGAAATGTGTCCGAAGCGCTCCATTACAAAAAGAAGGCAACAGAAGCATACTGGCGTGCCGCACACTACAACGTGACGGTAATGGGCGGTAGAACCGTCGTGATTGAGTCTTTTGTCGCACGCAGGTTGCATGACATATTTCGCCAGGCCGGTGTGCCGTATCCCAACCCGGGTAATAAGAGCGCAACTGTCCGCCCGTTAACACCCCCGCCAAGAAACTTAGTGCTACAAAATATTGTGCAGTTACCCATGCTGGAATTATTTGTTCTCTTTGAGCTCATGCATCAGCTGTCGCCCTCTCATCTTGAGGCATTTGTTACGATCATTGATCGGGAGTTGGAATCCAAAGCGCCGGCCTCTTTGCAAACGCCGAAAAGCGATGCGGTGAGTGTGGACCACATTCAACCCTCCACCAAAAACAGCGGATCTCTGGAGAAACAGCAGGGCGTTGTGCTGACGACTATCAAAGCGATTGTTCTTTCCCACATCCCCGGCAAGGAGGAATTTGCCCTCAATCTCATTCAGCAGAGCAAAAAAGTGGCCTGCGAGTACAAGGGGCGGAGCTGCACGGTGGCGTGGATGCACTGTTGGTTGCTTTACGAGGAGGCCACTATGGCGTTTAACAGTGGCGATACAAAAAAAAGCGTAGAGCTTCTGAGCCGAGCTGAAGACGTGAACGACGATCATATATTTCGTACTGCCATAGAAACGAAGTTGCACTTCGCCAGGTGGGTCGTGCGGGACACAACACACAAGAAAAAGAAATAGGCAGGCCAAAGAAAAAAGGAAACAAAAAATAAAACGTGGAGCTGCATGCCACAGTTTTTTTTTTGTTTGTTTGTTTTTTCTTTGGATTCTTTTTTGCCAGTTTTTTTGTTTTCAGCCGTAGCATAAAAAAGAAAAAAAGAAAAAAAGGGGGAAAAAAAAGGGCATATAAACAAAATAAACAGAAGTGACAAGGAAATGGACAGAAAATAAAAGATAAATAAATAAATTGCTGGGCATTTAGCCACTAATATGCTGGAGTCAATCCTACAGGCAATAAATGCCTATACGTTACACGTGCTTTATGTCTGGTTTAATTACAAATTTAGGCGTTGAAAAAAAAAAAAAAAGGGAACAAAAAAAAAAAACAGATGGAATTGTTGGTTTACTGCGGAATTTCATTTGTTAAATATATACATATATATATGTATTTATATTGCCGAATGGATTTGCAACCAGATGAGGCCAAATAGGTGTTAGGGCATCTTGTTGTACTTTATCTTTTCTCTGTGGATTGGTTCTTTTTTTCGTTTCAAAGATACCGCGTTGGAAGGTAGCGAGAGCGCCGTTTTTTTTTTTGTTTTTTTTTTCCTGTTTTCCCACCCTATTTTCCGGTGCTGCCCTTCACGAGGGGGACTCCGACGGCTGCGTGGCTCTTTTGATGGCTGCCGCTTTGTGAGACTTCAACGATCTCTGTGTTTACGGTATATGTTTTTTGTGAAATAATTCTTTTGCTGCTTTTTTTAATTACTGGATCCATCTTATCCAATTTGGAATATTTGGCGCACCGGAATAAAGTGCGTTCTTCCGTTGTTCACCTTCCACTCTGTAGGGATAGAGGAAAAGATTGCCCATATGTGCATATTTCAAACATTTTATTATTATTATTATTATTGTTGTTGTTTATTGCGGTGTTGCTAAAATAGGTGTTTGACCTCTATTCCAATGAATGCTCTTAGAACTGCTTTGAAGGAGTTTCAAAAAGGTACCAAGCATAAAAAGGAGGAAAACATTGCTAAACAGCACTTGTTTGCATTTTAAACGTCCACCACGATTACATTTTCTCCTTGCACCGGTGTCATCAAACAAGAATAGAAACTTAGGTTTTAAAAGGTAGCAATATTAACGAAAAACAGCGGCGAGAGCGGTAGGCAGGAGAGGAAACAGGACCAAGAAGGGGCCATGTCGCAAGAGACACTCAGCGCGAAGCAAGTGAATCAGCCCGGTGTTCATGCGCCGGAGGTCAAGGCGTTGCTCAGTGCCCGGGCAAGGTACCGAACAGTCGTTGTAGTTGCTGTCACATTCCTTCTGCTCGCTTGTCTTTTTGTCATCTCCAGCTCGTCCTCGGAACAGGGTGAGGGTCGATACCGGCCGAGGGCGATTGTGCTGATTGTTCCCCACCTTCCACCAGACATGCTGGAGGCGGCCATGGCAAGCAATAAGGCCCCGTTTCTCGGTCTCATCTCCGCTGCGGATGGCGTCTATGCCCGGCCTCTTGCGAAGAACACGGAACTGCCGTCGTCCCTGGTGACGATTCTCACAGGCAAGGTGAACTCGAGTGCAACGGACCTTGTGGGTGCGACGAGCTTTCTGGGGAAGATGAAGAAGGCCGGGAGGAAGCCCGTCGTTCTGGCGGCGGCGTCGTACTGGTCGGCACAGGTGGCGGCGGCGGACGGCAACTGCAGCCGTGTGGGGCTGTTTGACTCGGAGTGCTCCGGTCTCAGGTGCCCCGTGGCAACCGAGGCGGCGTACTGCAACGCCGCGGAGAAGCTTCTGTCATGTGACGGCAAGGCGCAGCTTTACGAAGAGGATGTTCTGGAGGCGTTTCGCCACCTCATGCAGCATGATGGCGACCTCCTGTACGCTCACGCCAATGCCCTGTGTGGCACGGTCAGCACTGACGAAGAGCGCATGGCTGTCTTGAGCGACATCAGCATCATGGACAGCACACTGGGGAAGCTTGCGCTTGCCGTCATTGAACGCTCCAGCACGGCGAGGGAGAGCTGGCTGATCATGCTTGTTGGTGCGGGGGGCAACGGTCTGGAAAGGGTTCCGTTGGTGATGGTGGCGTATGCGAAAGGAGGTCTTGTGCGTTTTGGTCCCATACCCGAGGAGGCGACACTTGCCGATGTTGCCCCAACCGTGCTGCATTGGTTTGCTCTTTCCCCCCATGGCGACGCGCAGCGGGTGCGAGGCATGTGCTCCACGGGTGTGGCTGCCATCAGCTGCGAGGCCACCACAAGATGGCCATGAGTCTGCTCCGTGAAGGTGAGGTGAAAAAAATGAGGCGTGCTGTTGTGGCGGTGTTCCATTTTAATTCGATGACGTTGAAAGTGAGCTGAAATTTGTCGCAGTGTAGCGATATATATATATATACGATGAAATGGGGAAATGGTCATAAAAATGGAGATTTCTCTCTCCTGTTGTACGGCTTTACTTGTTGTTGTTGCTTGGATTTCATTATGAATTGTTTTTTCTTGTTGTTTGTTGGGGTGTTGTTTTAGCAGATACACGAGAGAATTGAAGAGAAACGCCATTGTGGGAAGACGGGGTGGCATGCAGGGTGGGAAAGTTTCTTCGTTGGCCCGATCGAGTGGCGACGCGGAGGCTGGTGTCTCCACTGGGGAGTTTGCATCGGTTCCCATGATAGATCGCTCCCTTTCACGTGCAGCCGCAGTCTTTCCGGCGTCTTTTGCGTCGTCTTTCGTTGCTGAAAATGAGATTACCGCTGCCGGGGTGAATGACTCCGCGTTGCACGATACAACTGTTTTTTCTGATCTTAGTGACGAGATACAGAGGGTTGAGGCTCGTCTGTCTGCCATCCGGGAGGAAGAAGCTCGGTTGATGCCCAAGCGAACAGTTCCTGCAGTGCCAGCTCGCGAGAGTGGTCGTTTTAGTTCAGCATTAGATCTCAAAACTGGAGATTATGCAGCCGAGCTGAACGCTTCGGGCAGTTTTCGTCTGAATTCTCTTAGTAATGCAGATACTCTGTCAACAGAGCCAGATGTCACCTTTTGTAGGAATTCATTTCCAAAGGGTGCTGCAACGTCCATGAGTTCTTCAGGGCGACAAAGAAGTCCACTGCATAGAACAAACGCCTCATTGGCATGTGCCAATGATTTAACGAACACTGTATCGGAAAGAAGGCATTACGATCCTCTGGAGTCTGCGCCATCGTCAATAGGAGGCATGCGTGATTCACGCGTAGAGTCTGTAAGGCCTCTAGTAGAGCCGCGAGACCCCGTCTATTCTCTCGTAAACTTTCTTCGTCCGCTTCGCGTAATTGACATTGAAATCGATACGGGTGTCTATGAGAAACTAGAGGTATTTGCAGGTGAAGACATGGAGGGGGTTGCACGGCGGTTTATTAAAAAGCATGGTCTGAATATGGAAAGGGCCTTTAAACCCCTTTACGCGTTTCTGTCGTCGTTGAAAATTACTGAAGTGCGAAATTCTCCCCTAAAGTCCCCAAAAGAAAAAGTATCTCCTCCACATGGCTCCAAAACCGGCACTGCTACTGTCCCCAGCCATTTTAGCCACTTCCCTTTTAAAGGAGACTCTGGCAGAGTGAAGCCCAGTTGCACGGAAACCCTGGGCCATTCATCTGAGGCCAAGAATAAAATTGCGGCATGTGAAAGAGCACCACGTCGTCATACTTTTGATCATATTCGTCAGCATCCCACCAGAGGTGCCTCCCTGGACAAAACACGGAGGGTGACTGCTGCAAATGGCGTCTCACATTTTGTGAAGCAAGCATCAGATCGCATCGTGAGGGAGGGAAAGACAGCGATGTCGGGCCGATCCCAGAGGAAAAACACTTCTCCTCAACACCAAACACACCGAACGAGCACGCCTTTGAATGGTTTAAAGAGTCCCCGGGCCGTCTGTCAGATGAATAAGACAAAAGAGTGCCGCCGTGGCAATACTCCGACATGGCTTAACGTGGAAGATACCAACGTGGCACCCGCAATTCCGGTCAAAAATACTATTCCCCCGGAAGTGGTGGCGGTGGAGGTGGAAGTCAATAGACCCACAAGGACAAGAACAAATAGTACAGCAAAGGTACGGTCCCAAAATGGTGTTTGCAACAATTTCTCTTCACAAAGAAGTTCATCCGAACTATGTCGAGGTCTTGGCACGGCAAGGAGCCGTAAATCTTCCACTCTTGAGGAGGAGCCCGTGCCAACCTTCAGGCCCTCTCTTGCTCCAAGAAGTAAAGAATTGGTTGCGAAAAACCCGGAGCGTCTTCAAGGCCCCACCTATGCACGTCTTCATGCTCACGCTCGAAGATTTTCAAAATCCTTTACGAATGCGAATGCAGAATGCACTGGTAAGCCGAAAATTCTTTCTCGCAAGCGTGAAAACAATTCTCGGGTGCCGGTGGGACAGCGTCTTTACGATCAGGCAGTAGATCAACAACATCGTATGCAAGAAAGGCAAATTAAGGAAAAACAACGGAAAGATGATGAAGAACGATTCGTCATTGCTGGGCCTCAAATTAACAAAATTAGGCGACCGAGTTCGAAAGGGAGGGAGGCGCAATCATCCACGTTTTGTGCCTTGCGAGCACGCCCTTCAAACCATTCGAGACAAAATTCGTGTGTTTTGAAATCCCATGAAGAAAGAGAATTAGAGGCATGTACCTTTGTCCCGGCTGTTAACCCTGCATCGGTTCGTATATTCAATATGGTTGTTCGTGGTCGGGATTCGGAGGAGGAGTGGGGGGAATACGAAGGAAACTCTCAGGCGAATTCGGTGAACCCTTTACCCAGTGGCGGTAGTCGATCACAAAACAGTGAGAATGTCCGAAGGACATCTTCTGTTGCGGACCGTTTGTTGCGTCATGAACAAAACCGTCGCAAACGGCTTGAAGAGGAGCGGTTGTTTAGAGAAAACTTCGATTTGGCGACGGGTCGGCCACTCTTTCGGCCATTTCTTGGACGTTAGAAGAAAGTGGAAGGAGCCTCGTCGTTGCTCCTGTTACACTTTTGTGGTTGTGTATT